TTAAGGTCTCATTCATTGAATATTGTACATCGGATAGGTGATTTGTAGCAACGTACAATTAAATACTTATAGTTTTAGCTATATTTATTTTAATTATTCACCGAAACCATCTTAAGCTGTTTAACATTCAAAACCGAAAAACTATATTTACTTACATGCGTATACGTATTATATGATTATTAACACCGTTTGGAAGTCAAATATTGTTTCGGTCGTTAATCATTGGTAGTATTGATATAATTATGATTTATATATATATATATATATATATATATATATATTTATAGGTACTATATATCGTTGTTTATTGAATCATTTAGTGTTGTGTAGAAAGGCTGTTTGAACAATGCATAATATACATAGACATATGAAATATAAAAAAAAGGACTATATTTTCCTATGTATGTATTGTATATACAAGGAAATATTGGAAACATGGACAGACTGTTAATCATTCGCATGAGTTGAGGTAAAACCATGTTCCGTTGACTAACTTAAACATGCATGATGAATATCAACAATCAACTTAAAAACATACTGTGTACTAGAGGCGGCTCCAGAGTCTTGGTTAGGGGGGGAGGAAATTTATAATTTTACAAAATCTTATAACAAAAAGAAAACAATAATTTTTACAACACAAATTCAAGTCGTCTATTTTTTAAAATTGGCAAACATATCAATAATATGATCTATTTGATATAAAACAGCGGTTCTCGAACTTTTTTTTTCGCGTACCACTTGAATATATTATCAATCAGTTACGTACCACTAATGATTAAAAATAGAACCATACAAATTTTACATAATAAAATACATTTTTTTAAATTAATATAAGAGTTAAATATTAAATTTTTAATTTCCGTTCTACCACGGCCTTCCGCGTACCACCTTACAGTCTTTCACGTACTACAGTTTGAGAACCGCTGATCTAGAATATCTACTTTATGATATACATTAATTAGACATAATACTGATAGTCTATCTTCAGTCATCATTAAACGAAGTCAGGTTTTTAGTCTCCGAAGTGTGGAGAAACTCCTCTCAACCGTCATACCTCTTTGGCTCTATCTACATGCTTGTGCATGTCGTATAATAGTACATATTATAATATGCATTTTTTATTAACAATATAAATTTTTTTGTAAATACGGTACGGGCTTGGAAGGGGGCCACGGCCCCTAGGGCCCCCTGGAGACGCCCCTGCTGTGCACTGCAATCTGATGTCAATGAATGTACGTACCATACTTAAAGTTCAGGTGAATCATACTTGATTGACATGACGATATTTGTCAATTGAGATAGTTGTAATGGTTTTAAGATATACGTCTCAATTTTCACCGAAAACCGTCAACAATATCGATAATTTAATCGTTGCTCTACACCCAGTGCCATCCTAACTACCAATATAAACGTTATCCCCCTTGGGCTTTTCTTTATCATAGATTTATTTAATAGTTTTGATACAGGTATAATAGTAGTAATATTCTTATTCGTTCGGCTTCTTCGACGAGTTTCAAATTCGCCCCCCGGATGCACGTAAGTTTTTGGTAAATCTTATTTATAAAACGCACGACGGGATAAAGTATTGTTCGTACACACATATGTGCAGAGCAGCGCATAGAAACGTATTTCATTCACGAATATTATGTGAAAAAAATGCCTAGGACGTCCAGTGGAAAACGGTATAACGGCTCGCGTCCTCACGCGGAGTTACGATATTTATTAACGCCGATTAACACGCGTAGGCCAGACGGACAACGGTTGGCGAGCGTCCACGGCGTGGGTTTCCGCGCCGACTGAGAAATTGATTTTTCGCTTTTACCACGACGTCGCGCGCGCCAAACCGACGCCGGAGCGGAGGGTCACCGCCACCACCGGTTATGTTCTGTGCACGACCTAGGGCACGTGACTATCGCGTCCTCCCGGAATAGTATACCGCGGTTACGTTTACCTTGGAACCCACGTGTGCGGTGTACAAGCGGAAACGCGCACCGTGGTAGGTTAGGTTGTTCGTCGAATTTCACGATTTCCATCTGTACCCTCCAAACCAATTCCCGAAATTTTTCGTACACACTTTTCACACTACTGCGATCATATTTTAAACTTGAGTGGTAGGGCAATAGTGTATAGCTGATGATATTAATACAATTATCCATTGTTGTGGTTAAAAATAATTTATTCGTCATATTTTTAACTATACTTATCGTCTACCTCTGCTGTCAACCCCACGCACGACCGGCCACGACCACTCCGATTCGCCTGAGACGAATGTCTCCAAGTCGTATACAGTTCACCGAAACGTTTATAATGCCTTACCATCCTAACCGTATATATGTCGTTACATTGTAACCGGCCGGCATTAGCGTTTATTCATTTATATCAACGAATTTACACCCTGTGACAGGTTGCCGCGTGTCGGAGCGAACACGTGCGTTCGTAGCGTATTGGTTTCTGGAGACGGTGAAACGCGCGCGTGCTCATCGAAAACCCCGAGTCCTGTGTCCTTTCGTCTGTCCCGGCAAACGAGCGTAGGTCAACAGTATTTCCGGTTCGTGTGTGTGAGCACAGGACCGTAACAAATGCAGAAAAAATGATGAGTGGTGCCTGCAGGAACTCTGAGAGGGCGTGAAAACGAACAAATTAATGTTTTGTAAACGGCAACAACCGCCGATACTCGTTTTTTGTACGTCTACCGTTTTAATATTTTATTGGTCCGTTGATTTCCAAAACAATAATATATATCCTTTTGCATATTTTTGGTATAATTCTGTCCTCTTACTCTTGCAGGATCATTTGAGTTAAATCTTCTTTACAAATCCGTCAGGATTCACTTTGATGTTTCGCAGCTGCTGCATTACAATACATCATTTAATTGCTACACATAATCTAGGAGCGCGTGCGTGTGTGTGATGTGTAAGTCTGTTTGGAGAGCATTATTATTATAAATTGTTACAATTATTTACCGTACCCTCGCGGCCCCGTCCCTATCGTATAAACGTTTGCGCGTACACGCTAGTGCGACGGTGCACTCTAACTCGTTCGATTACCGTCAGCAGATGGCAGCACCGGTAGACCTCTTCATGCGGCCGTGCTGGCGTTGTACCGTTTTCCCTGGGAACCTTGAAAAATACGCCGTTCGCACAATTTACAATGTATTTATTGTTAATACATTGTGGTTGGTCCGTGCACACTGCCAAATCGCTTTTTTTCCTATTGTAGACGCGCGCACACACACACACTCACATTATATATATATATATATATATATATATGTGTGTGTGTATAAATATAAAATATAAAATATTCACACTGTTTCTTTTTTTATTTTATTTTTTTTTTTTGCGTCACACGCCGTCCGTCTCAGCGTTCGAAACCTAACAGCGTTCTCTATTGTGTATAGGTACATATCTATGCATATAACAACGCGCATGATGCACATGAAAATTACCACTGAATAATAACCCCTTGAATAATGATAATAATAATATCCTCGGAATTTAGGTCCCCAAAAAATAATCCGTAAAACATGATCCCTCGGATAAGCCGTGTTTAACAAATATTTGCTATACGTGTGCATATATAGAGCTGTACACGAATCGCGTACCTGTGTAATCGTCGCGTTGATATAAAACACAGTTAGAACTAATAAAAAAAAAAACTTATATCTAGCAGTTCTCCTTCATCGATACGTTTTCATCATGCGGTTTTAATCTAGGCTGTAAGTGCTTTCTTTTGTAGATAGCTCCGATTGTCCCGCACATAAATATACGGCTGTACAATATCATCGCTTCTGACTATATTTCGTTACTATAAATACATCGGCCCTAATTTATTTTGTACGCAAATCTCGCAACAATAATATTAGAATAGACGTAACACCGAAATCTGAGACAGAACACATATGACGTACGGCACGGAAAAAAAAAAAGAAAAATCTGTTGTTCTAGGGTTCACAAACATTATATTTGTTCGGTAACCTCTATAATTATGGAGAAGTTATGTAGACAATCCTAATAATAGGAAGGACAACTACATGGCAGAAATATTTAGTATATATTTAAAGTCGATTGTTGTCTAGCCTTACTAGCAATCCATTGAAATTGCCTTGTTACGTATTATAATTTAGTCGTATTAAACGTTTCCATTATTTTTACCAGTTTGCATACGGTATTATTAAAAATAAATTTGTTTTTGTTTTTCAAAGGAAGCAACTAATACATATACTACAAGTTCAATAATTTTATATATAATATTAGTTCGTATTAATTTCTTATACAACACTTATATATAATCGACAATCGTACATGTTAGTCATCTGAGTCATTTTTTTTTATTTTTTTTTCATAAGTATTCTCTTTCAATAACAATAATTTTAGGAATCTAATTACTGTAGACATTTGTCTTAAGATTCTACGTAAAGAGTATTGTACACAAATAATTTGCTACACTGGTATTGATTCGAACATTATACCGTATAAGGGTGTGGGCCAAGTTTACGAATATATATATATAATTTCAAAATTATAACACGTTAAATACATATTGTAAATTATATAATTTATAACGCGGTTAAAACGATACCATATATTATTTATCAATGTGTATAATTTCTAAAAATACTGAAAAGGCATGAAAACAATTTTCGTATTCTACAACAGTAATAAATTGCAGTATTCGAAAGATAATGCATAATTCTCATTGTATTTAACAAACGAGTGCAAAAACAAGAATTACCATGCGCGTAAAATATAATTTATCATATCTTCGTCTTTATACACTTTTACGTATATTGTAAACGTATACTCGTATACGTATATATATATATAGTTTTTGGAACACTCGTATATTATATTTTCGGTGAATTTTTTTTGTTCATTATAACATTTTTTTTTTTCGCGAACGGCTGGCACGAGGTTCACGACTCCAGGGGCACGATTTAGGAGTCCGGCGGGCCCGGGGGCTCTGTATAGGTGAACTTATAATTTTGCCGCGGCGTCGGTCGTCTTTCGAGACGAGTCGCATACCGACCGATAATTTCCGTCCATATACCGTACAGTTAATGGCATCGTTTTCGTGTCTGGCGTTTGTGTACGAGTGTGTTTGTTCGTGTGTGTGTGTGTGTATGTGTGTGTGTGGTGGCGATGACGACGGACGACTATATACCACGAGGACGATTATAATGTTTGTACGTATATACTTATATAGTTTCGTCCTATATTTATTCCTTCGGTTCGCCCTCCTCGCCGAACGTTGGTAGTTTTTTTTCTTCACGTTAAGGTTTTTGCGTGTCCTAATATTCGGTCCGGTGAACATACATTTTTTATTCTATTTTTCTAATCCTTTCATCCCTGCAGTTGACGTAAACCAGCGGTACAATAGTACCCACTGCGTACCCGTACGCCGTATACGTCAATAACTGCGTCGTGTGATCGCCACGGTACACACACATATATATATATATATATATATAATATATATCATGCAATAATAATATCCTGTTTTTCGTGAATTTTATTCGTGCGGTTCTTCCCCCCCCCCCCTCCACCACCACCGTCCCCGTGTAATTTCTGTAATTTCTAAACGCGTGTGCGCGCAATAATAACGTGCGAAACGAGGCAGCACTGATCGCTCGCCGTATACGTATGTAACACATTATATACACATATACATATTTATACGTATACATATATAGGTGGTATATATATATATATATATATATATTTATATTATTATGTGTGCACGGCCGTCGCCAAGATAGCGGTGGCGCGGCCAACGTTGGGGCCCTGTGTAGGTTGGTGAACGCGCGCCGTGACGTCACCGACTACGGGCGACTGTAACAAAATGGACGTCTTTCGCGAAATCCACGTTGCCGCCGCCGCCGCAAATGAAATACAATTTTTTTTCTCCTCTGCCCCGTCCGGGACGATTCGGAATTCCGCGAAATTCGCTTTTTTAGCTTCTCCCGCACGTTTTACGACGAACAATACGCACTTCGCCCGCGCCCGTCACCGTTTCCGTCGGTAATATATAGAACACAATACGATTATACGTCCCGATGTACCTAACTGCCCGCGGTTCTGCAGATGCGTTGCAAGCCCTAATATTTGTTCTTCGTACTGCACGCCAAATTCAAAGTTGTGGTAAACTGCAGCCCGTGACGCATAGATAGTTCATATAATGAAAGCCATATAATCATCGAAAGAAAATCCCACGAAAAAAATCCCCGGAAAAAATGTGACAGAAATACCGGTACGCAGTTATATTTTTACTAGTTATAGAAAAAAGAAAAAAATAGTAGAAAAAAATATACTTACTCCAAATTTAATCAAATTTCATTCTTATATAATGCCCTATATTTGTCAATAATAAATCAACGCGCAATACTCCCCTTGTAAATTGTTCGCGTATTTTTTTCCCCCATAATATTTATACATATATTCATTCATTACAAAAAAAACTTAAAAACATAACTCAACCCATGGTATAAATGTATTATGTAGAAATGTTCAATATTTCAATTTATATTATACCATGTCGTACATTATTTTATTAACGGTGATTTTTTTTCCGTTTACTGGTAATTTCTGCGGTTGAAGATGATGAACTATATATTGTGTTGATCTTATGAAAACAGATTTAAATTTGTTGTAAGCACGATGCACACGTTTTTCAGTGCATTAATCCGCAATTCTACGGTATTCGTTCATGTACGAGTAACCGATATTGTGTGACTCTTACACCGAACGAAATTTTATTAGACAATTTCAAACTCCATAGTGCTTACACTATACTTTTTGCTCAGGTACTTTAGTCTAAGTGCGCGATTAGTACACACGATTTTAAGTCATGTTGCGCATAAATAGGTATATACGTTAGTGTATGAATGCCCGAAAACGGTTTGAGTACAGTTCCAGGAAAACAACAGGGGGGAGGGTTGAAACGAGCAGCGTTTAAAATCACGTGGCAGTAAAAGTTTTCGAAGATCGTCTCCATGCTGCCCCGTCGCGTTTAGCTTCAGCTGTGGCAGCGATCGACGGGGGTGCAAATGGCAAATTTCATCGCTGCTTGATCAACAATTATCGAGATTTTAATAAGTCCCCGTTGACGTAGAAATAACAAAAATGTGGGTTTCGAAAAGTAAAACGACTTTCCCAACCAATCCTATATCGGCGTATTACTTTATTGATTCCGTACTCGATGGACGATGGACGAAAACAATACGTACAATGATCTGGAACTTATAATTATAATTTGTGGGATTTTTCCTCGTGTTTATGTTTTATTATTGTATATTATACACTGTTGAGTTCGTTGGCATAATAATATCTCTCCCGTCTTGTATTCAACCCTTTGATTGGTTTCGCAGTCGGACACGCGCTACTCGCGTTTCCCTGTTTCCAGCAAACCTCTTTAGTTCCATGTTGCTCTACAGCGCACCATCGGAGATAATTTGCCCGACAAATAAAGTCCTTGGACGTCCTCGGTTTACTCTTACCTTTAATTTTCCCTTATATTGTTCTATGTAAACTAGTTCGTTTTCGTGCCTCGATACGTAACCAACAATGTTCCGCCGTCTTGCTCCGATAGTTCTAAGTATCTCTCTGCGTTCATTTAGATCACAGAGCAATAGTTATACAATTAAAATTACAATAATAAATTATAATATATCTTATTAGTATACGATTTCGAGTAGAAAAATATTGTTCTGTATAAATCATACGCGAGTTCCGTTAGAATCATATTTTCACGGTTGTCGAAGCTATACCGCGGTCGTTTTTTTCTTACCAACTTTTTACTCTTAACACGCGATCACAGTGTTTCAAATATAATCACATTTTAATCTGCCCCCTCGTGGATTTTCTTAGACGCAGACGCATATTTATATTGACTTACACTTTGTACTGCAGTAAGCCCATATGTGCGTGTAGATAATTATTGTACACGCGTTTGATGTGATATATTATACGTGTATTTAAATATAGATAAACGTTTTGAATTCCGTACGATAACATTAAAAGCAACATGGTTTATGGACAACGATTATGCGCAGATTTATGTATAAAAGTAATACGCGTGACCGTACGTAGGATTCGTACGAGATGGCCAATTCAAAAACGCAATTTGCAGTCGAAAAGTGGGCGTGACCAAATGATACGCGTATGCGTCAAACGAATGCCAGTTTATATGACGTTTAAATAATGCAATCATATTGGTAAAATTTATATTATATGAAACTGTGCGCAATTGACAACTTCGTCGTGCGATTACGTTACAAGTATATATATACCTACGTGTACGTTCGTATATTAAATATCGTGAACGTACTGTCATTTGTTACGGATAACAATGATTTGCTAACATTTTCGTTACGACGGACGCGCAGCAATAATCGGGATGAACTCTGGAATACGCGCGCGTACAACTGGACGTTTTAATAACGATACTTAATTGGAAAACCGTGCGCGTTGTGCACGAGATGTATTCTTAAAACGATTGAAAAAAAAAAAAAAATTAAAATACATTTTATGATTTTATACAGAAATATAGCTGATTAATACCTTCGATATCCATCGATTTAAATACTTAAGATTACGGTACGTGTGTATGGTATGCGTTACAATTAAACACACGATCATCAGTATTTACGCATATCACGATTCTCTAGATACGCATGCTTATGCTATAAATATTGTGTTTTTATACAAAGTGCTTTTAATGCATGTTCATGTATTTTCGATTATTTACGATACAATTATCCGACACTTTTGTTCGACAAAATATTAGTATGTATACGAATACGATACTGAAATGTAAGTGACATTCGTGTGATTCCCAAGTACTAGATCTCCCCCAAAAAAGTTATTATTAAATATTAATACTAAGCGACTGTATATTTGTAAAAAAAAAAAAAAGCTACAAGTTATACAGTTTATAACTATGGTATAATGCTATATTATAGACTTCCTACACGCAACGGGGTGCAATTCATTTAATTACCACCTATGTACAATGCAAAAGCACGTATATATATATATATATATATATATATATATATATAAGTATATTTGATTAAACTTTTTTGTTCGCTTTGCTAGATTTCGAAAACTGTCCGTAATATCAATGTAAAACTTGCTGTTGAATTTGAATTGTACCGTTTACCTGTAGATCCATCTATTTATAATAGCTGTATGTTATTGTTACACTCTCTAATAATCGAGTGCTGTAATCTAAACTATGAAATTTTTTTAATTATTGATTATTTCTTTAATTTATAATCAAAGTTGATAAATAGAACTTTGAAATTTCGTACAAAATTCAAAATATATCAAAAAATGTTAACTCGAGCCTATGAATATATATTCGATAAGTACATTAAAGGATTTGGTATAAAATATTTATGAGATTTGGCACGCCATCACTGATAATAGTACTAAGTGTATACAATGTAATACGATCGATATTAATAAAAATTCTATCAAATCATTGATTTATGGACTCGACAGTTTGGTCTAGTACTTACTATCGAGAATGATTAATTTTTTTTAAGGTTTCTATATATACATATATATAATGACTTTTTATATTTAAAGTTCAGAGTTATCTGTTTACCATGCGGTATTACTTCAAATTTAATAGCTGGAAACAAAAAAAACCCCAATCATTTTTACACTATTATATCGTATAGACTCTAGTGTATATTTATATTACTCAACAAACTGAAATTGAATTATAAAAATAAAATATTTCCTTACGAGTATACTTAACTGAAACCTATTTGTTATTTAATTTATTCACCAGCTGGAAAATCATTATTTAATTATCTTTTATCTCGTATTTATACTCCGAATTAATATCTATAATATAATTATTGTTTACATTTCTCTACATTTTTAAAATTTAATTCATATTATAAGTTTCTTGTACATTTTTATCATTCAGTAAACATTATCCTAATATATTTAATTTATTGAGTTTAGTTCTTTTAATAACCATATTTTCTCAAAAATTATCACAAAATGAATAAAAATATCAACTTATTGACAAAAAAAAACAATTGTCATCACCAAATTATTTAAAATATTTCCAAACATTTCGTTACATTCTTATGCTGCTAAACTGTAAATAAATAAACAAAGTGAATGATTCATGAATAGAAAAAAGTAAATAACTTTCTTCGGTGATTTA